CAGGGGCAAGAGTCCTGGCATTATAGGTGTGTTTATTTTCTGCTTTTGGTTTAACTACGTTTTCTTGGCTTCCTAAAATATGTTGTTTTTATAAGAAAAAATGTGTTATTTTTCTACAACATATTATAACCTCATTCAAAGTTATAGACTTGGCTGAAAGTTTGTTGAAAGCTACAGAAAACAATTTTAGTCTTGGGGCGCCTGGATGGCTCAGTGGGTTAAAGCCTCTGCCTCCGGCTCAGGTCATGATCTCAGGGTCCTGGAATGGAGCCCCTCACCCAGCTCTCTGCTCGGCAGGGAGCCTGCTTCCTCCTCTCTCTCTCTGCCTGTCTCTCTGCCTACTTGTGATCTGTCAAGTAAATAAATAAAGTCTTTAAAAAATTTTTTTTATTCTTAAGCTGTGAGAGCCCACTCTTAGCAGAAAAGTAATACATAAACAGTAACCAATTTCACATATCCCAACTTTGACAGACACTTCAAAAATCCCATATGCACATCTGTATTTTCTCATTCAAGCTACTCTGAGCATAAAACTAGTCCGACTGCCTGGGTTCAAGTTCTGGTCCTGCCACTTCCTATTTATAGAGCACCACGCGGGGAGACTGCTCTGGGCCTCAGTCTCTCCACTCACAAAGTGGAGATAACAGTAAGATACACCATACAGGGTTGAGGTGTTTATGAAATGCGTGTATAGTACATAGGGCCGTTTCCTGGCACGTGGACCAGGCTACGAGGTGTTAGCTATTACTAGTTTCACTATTAACCTTAAAAACAAACATCTTCAGATGTGAAAGACAGAAGCCACTCCACTAGTTCATTAGTTTATAAACCTGTATTTCTGAATAATCTTCAGAATTCAGTCATATCAGTGCAAACATGCATCAACGCAAAACTTGCTCGCCTGCAGTAAAGTACACGAATGTTACATGTACATTGCAGTAAGTGTCTGCATACGTATACCCCATGTCATCACAACCCAGATGAAGACAGAGAACATTCCCAGTGCCCTCAGACACTTCTTCATGCCTCTCGTCGGTAACCCCTCACCAAAGGGTGGCCTCTACTCTGACCTCCATCACCACAGATCAGTTTTGTCTAATTCTGAATTTTTTTCACAGCTGCACATGTTTTTCATCTCCAAAGGAAAAAAAACTGCTTTTATCACATACTTTGGAGTTATACTCCCCAGTAAAGATAAAAGATTCACACTGGGGGCACCTGGGTGGCTCAGTGGGTTAAAGCCTCTGTCTTCAGCTCAGGTCATGATTCCAGGGTCCTGGGATCGAGCCCTGCATCCGGCTTTCTGCTCAGCGGGGAGCCTGCTTCCCAGTCTCTCTCTACCTGCCTCTCTGCCTATGTGTGATCTCTGTCAAATAAATAAATAAAATCTTTAAAAAAAAAAAAAGATTCACACTGTATCAACCACCTTCTTCAGTGGCACCAGTGATATAAAATATATATTATGGCCTTGCAAAACAAACCTCCGCAGGTAAAAATCAGGAGAATGGTTACCATCGGTGCTGGGAGTGTGGGTTGTGACAGGAAGCAAGTGTCAGGAGGCTTCTAGGTACCGGGATGTTCTATTTCTTGATCATGGTGTGTCTAACTTACGAAAATTCTTCAACATATATACTTTAACATGTGTGCTTTATAATGTACACTGTATTTCAATAAAAACTTAAAAATACCATGACTTTGGAAAAACTAAGTGCTAACTTATCCAACCAAAGCTGAGCTTATGAACTGAATCTTACTGACACACTACACTCAACCTTAAGTGTTGTAACTAATGAAAAGATACACAAAATTCTTTCTGAGATAATCCCAGAAATATACTATTCATTTATGAGGCTTTGTTCTTTTCACCGTCATACACATTGCAAATTTACAGGTACGAGTGTGAAGTTTTATAAAGGTAAAATGGACAAAGAGGAAAGCCAGGGAAGAGAAACAGGTATGGAATGCCAGGCCCATGCAGGTCCGTTTCAGTGGTGTTGTTTAACCTTTGCAACAGCTCTGTGGGGAAAGGGACGATCATCCCCATTTTGTGAAAGTGGCAGCAAGCTCAGAGACTTTAAATAAACTGCCTGAGGTCACACAATAAAGAAGAAAGCGATCATTCAAATTCAAGTGTGACTCCAAGCTCCTTCCACTGCCCATTATACGTTATATGAAAGAATTTATTTAAGCTTTCTATACCTCAAAATATTTAAATCTATTTTTCAGAGTCTCAATAGTTCTTAGGCTTTCTTCATGTTGCTTTTCTTTAGCCACCAAAAGGGACTTCAGCTTTTCTTTCTGAAATGGAAAGGAATAAATACAGAGCAAAATCACTCCATGCTTGCAACTAGGTTAAAAATATGTTTCAGAAAATGTGAATTAGAATAACTTTGATTTTTTTAGTATTTTTAACTATTAGCAGAGTTGACAGTTCCTACAAATATACAATAAAATATGGAATATATAAAAATACTATGAAAAATTCACATTTCTGCATATGTTTCAAATCTTATTATTTTCAGACATTTTATTTACAATGTTTAGAATTTTATATCTTTTTGTTGAAAGTTTCAGAGAAAATGAGGCATTCAGAGACAATAACAACAAAATGCTTACGATAACCCATGCTACTATCCCTAAAAATGTATTTTTTAATAGTCACATGTAGGTTTTGTTTTTCCCTTTAAGCAATAACCAGAAATCGAACCTCACCCCCATCTCAACACGGGACTCAAAACTCTACTGCAATGTCATCTTCAATTGACATAACATTTTATAGCTTTAAAGTAAAATTTATCAGCCTACCTCACTTTCCAGATCGTCAGCAACCATTACTTCCTAAATTTAAAAAGAAGAAATGTATTTTCATTATTCAAAGCTTATTTTTGAAAGGCATGAGCTCAGCAGGTATCTTTGTAAAAGGCCAGCACATATCTCAATCTTAAGATTGGGAACAAGGAGGTGAGGAGAAAATGTCTCTGAATGACCAGCTCTGTGGTCTGAGCCATCACTTATTCTTCTCACTGACCAGGTTAAGAAGCACTTCAATTCTTCTGAGAACCCATGCATTATCAACTCCTCTCTCTCCGATCCCATAGCCCCCAACCATAGGTCAGCGCTTTGCTATTACCATACACCGCCAGTACTCTCTGTTCCTACGTGTGACACTCCAAATTTCACATGAAGATCCCAGGAAAACAGAACTTTTCTGAAGGGCAATGACCTCATTGTACCTCCTTTTGCAACTAGCACCATGACCTGATATGGCAGGCGATCATTAATGATTTGTTTTCAATGATGATTATTGGTAGTAAAACATTTTTTTCGTTTTTTTATATTATGTAGATTATTTACCTCATTCAGCTGTAGTTGTAAACCATTGACTTTATCCAGTAATATTCTCTGTTCTTGCTGAATTTTTCTCAACCTCTCTTTCAAATCTTCATTTTCAATCTCCAGATCCTTAAACAGTAAAGAAAACAGGTGCCAGACCAGCCTTAAAAGAGCAATTCTTATGGAAGATATTTTCAAAAGCAGTTCACTATCATGGTCAGATATATACCTACATAAAACAGTTTTAAGTCCAAAGACACAATATATTGTGGCTTAAATATTTAATGGCTTAAAATTGATAGATCAGAAATAATATACAGGCATACTCATTTTATTGCACTCTGCTTTCCTACGCTTTGCAAATACTGTGTTTTTTCACCAATTGAAGGTCTGCGGCAACCCTGCATCGAGCTAGTCTATCAGCATCATTTCTCCACCAGCTTTTGCTTACTTTGAATCTCTGTCATATTTTGGTAACTCTCACAATTTCTGAAACTTTTTTACTATTCTGTTTATTATGGTGACCTGTGATCAGTGACCCTTGCTGACACTACAGTAACTGTCTTGGGGGCACCATGAATTGCTCCATGAAAGACGGCAAACTTAACCAGTAAATGCCACGTGTGGTCTGACTGCTCTACCCACTGGCCGTTCCCCCATATCTCTCCCTCTCCTCAGGCCCCCATTCCCTGTGACACAACGGCATTGAAATTAGACCAATTAACAATTCTACAATAGCTTCTATGCGTTCAAGAGAAAGGAAGAGTCACTCATCTCTCACCTTAAATCAAAAGCTAAAAATGATTAAGCTTAGTCAGGAAGGCATGTCTCGAACTAAAAAAAGCCAAAAGCTAGGCCTCTTTTACCAGTCAGTCAAGTTCTGAATGCAAAGGAAAAGAAACAGAGAAAGTTTTAGGTATCTGGATAGAAGATCAAACAGGCCACGACATGCCCTTAAGCCAAAGCCTCATCCAGAACAAGGACCTAACTCTCTTCTATGAATTCTATGAAGGCTGCTAACCCAATATCCACCTTGCAGCCCACGGATCAAGGAGTAATTTCAACTTTCAAGGCTTACTATTTAAGAGATACATCTTGTATGGCTGCCTTGAAGGAGATTCTTCTGATGGATCTGAGCAAAGGAAACTGAAAAGCTTCTGGAAAGGATTCACCATTCTAGATGCCATTAAGAACATTTGTGATTCATGGGAAGAGGTCAAAATACTAACATTAACAAGAGTTGGTAGGAAGGAACCCTCATGGAGGACTTTGAGGGGTTCCAGGCTTCAGCGGAGGAAGTAACTACAGATGTGGTGGAGACAGCAAGAAAACTAGAATTAGAAGTGGAAACTGTAAGAGACTCTTAACGTCACAAAACAAACTGAGGGTGGCCGGGGGGATGGGGTAGGGAGAGGGTTGTGGGGTTATGCACATTTGGGAGGGTATGTGCTATGGTGAGTGCTGTGAAGTGTGTAAACCTGGCGATTCACTTTTTTATAAACATTATATGTTTATAAAAAAAATTTTTAAAAATATTAAAAAAAAAAAAGGAAGTGGAGCCTGCAGATGGGACTGAACTGCTAGCTACTCCACAATACAACGAATGATTGAGGAGTTGCTTTTTACAGACAAGCAAAGACAGTGGTTTCTTGAAATGGAATCTACTTCTGGTGAAGACACTATTAAGATTATTGAAATGGTGACAAAGGATTTAGAATATGACATAAAGTTAGTTGATGGGGCAGCAGCAGGGTTTGAGAGGATTGGCTCCAGTTTTAAAAGGAGTTCTACTGTGGGGAAAATGCTACCAAGAAAACTTTTGTTAAAGGAAGAGTTCATCGCTGTGGCAAAACTCCTTGCTATCTTACTTTAAGAAACTACCACAGACTCCCCAACCTTCAACAACTCACTACCCTCATCAGTCAGCAACCACCAACCTCAAGGCAAGACGCCTGCCCAGTAAAAAGATGACAACTCACTGAAAACTCCCATGATGGCTAGCACTTCTTAGCAATGAAGTATTTTTATTTAATGTTTTTCTCTTTTAAAAAATATTGATTTGGGTAATCTGTACACCCAACGTGAGGCCTGAACTCACAACCCCAAGATCAACAGTCACATGCTCTTCTGACTGAGCCAGACAGGCACCCCAGCAATAAAGTATTTTTAAACTAAGGTATACACATTGGGTTTTTTTTGTTTGTTTGTTTAGATATAATGTTATTACACACTTAACAGACTACAGTACAGGGGCACCTGGGTGGCTCAGTCAGTCAAACGTCTGCCTTCAGCTCAGGTCATGAATCCCAGGGTCCTGGGCTACAGTCTCATATTGGGCTCCCTGCTCAGCAGGGAGCCTGCTTCTCCCTCTGCCTCTCCCCCTGGCTGGTGTTCTATCTCTCTCTCCCTCTCAAGTAAATAAATAAAAATCTTAACAACAAAAACAACAAAAAGACTACAGTATAATGCAAATATAACTTTTATATGTACTGGGAAACCAAAAAATTCCTTTGACTCACTTTTCTGTATTTGCTTTGCTACAATACTCGCTTTATTGCAATGACCTGGAACTGAACTGCGCTATCTCCAAGGTGTGCCTGCAGAAGGTTATGGTCCTGTTATCTAATTAATATGAGTATATACAAGACAGCAAAGTACCATGATTCTAACAAAATAAATAAATTACCTGGAAATAGAAAATAGCAGAAGAATATGCCATTTTAACTTTTGCTTAACACCTCTCAAGTTTATGAGCGGGTTCTAATGCTTTCACTACACTAATTACTTCCATGCGCTGATGAAGCCCTCAAGGCTCCAATTTAGAGTTCACTTTCTTAACACTACACAGTAACTATAAAAGCCCAAATAAAATGCTTTTGTCTTATCATGTGGAAAACAGCTATACAACTTATTTGTTGTTGTTGTTTTTACAACCTGTATTTTAAATGGTGTTTTAGTCATAAAATAAACCATTCAGTTATGGAACCTTCCTCCCATATAATCCACATAAGAATTATTTTCTGAACATTCTGATTAACTAGGAACATTATATGGTTAAACAAAATGATTTTTCTTTATCAAAATAAAAAAACAGTTGTATTAAACTAAACACATTTATTTACATTAGTAACCATCATTTTTCATCGTAATACTTGTTCTCTAAAATGAATACAAATTTAGGATTTATGGCCCAAACAGATTTAAATCAACAAAAAGTTATGTAAAGTTGTTTAATTATTTCCTTCCTAATACATATTAAAACAATAATTTCTGTAAGATAATATGACCCAAACATTCCTAACAAAAGTCAATTCTTTTGGAAGGGACTGGGCAAGAAAACAGAATCACAAAACACAGCAGGCTGCCCTTCCTTCCCCTGTTCATTTCCCCATTTCATGCTCCTCTTCCCACCCGACCCCACTACCAACAACACAGTAATTCTTTACAAAGAGGATACCAATTTTTTTTTTTACCTGAATGTTTCGATGCTCCCTCTGACTTGACTTCATATTTACTTCATCTAGTATGTATGGCAAATTTCGCTTTGGTGAAACATAAGAGAACACGGGTTAGCAAGTATGAAAATACAGAAAAGTACATTTTCCTCAGTAGGCAACATATCCAGTTAGGGATGTGCGGCTTATCCAACATGACATTTTACTGTATACAACACAAGGTGGCAGTGTTTGCACTTCGAACTCCAAGTGAAGCGCATCTTTGATTATAGGTTTTAAATAAATCAAGTGTGATTTATTTAAAAATACGAAGACATAATCAAATTTAAAATCCCAACTGTTAAACATTTATTTTTACTAAAGTTACCAAGATTTGGAAAGTAGAATTTGTACTAGACACAAACCTAGAGTTGCACTATAAGACATCAGCAACCATCCCCAAAGGAAATATCTAGTACTTAAAAAGGAGGGGGAGTTACACAGTAATGTTGAAAAGAGATACAGAAATTATTTATTTCTTTAAGCACTGATAAAATATCAAAGGGTGTGGTCAGGAAGAGACAGACAATCCTCTAAAGGACTTGGTTCAATACATGTTCTGTTTTGTACATTTACTGCTTTGAAACCTTATTCCAGCCTAAAGATTTGCTTTAATAAAACCATAACACAATCATTAAGCAAGAGAGCATATAACTTTTTTTTGGCCAAACTGACCTTTACTTCTACATAATAATTTAGAAACCTATGGTCTCTCTAAGAGCTTTAAAAAAGAAAAAGAAAAAAAAAAAGCTACTGTTTTAATTTTCCAAGAAAATTTTTTTATGTTTTACATTATTTGTTGAGCCTTGCTTTAATTCTAATCAGTTTGGATTTAGAATTATTCCAGTCAGTTTGGATTTAGAATTAGAAAGGAAAGGTCCTATTAGGAAGATATTCCATACCCACAACTTGGCCCAAACTACATTTCCAGCTTCATTCCTTCCAGCAAAGGACTGTTCTTTGTGTGGAATCTGACCCATTTCCTTATTCTACCTTCATCCCCGTCTTCCCTCTAGAGGGTCTTTCATCATCTGGCAGATGTTTCCCTCACCCTGCCTCTCCTCCTTGGTCATGCACACATCACTCCTCCATGCTGTCCTTCTACTGCACCCTGGATGTGTTAAACACACTCCTGCATCAGGGGGTTGGCACCTGTCCTTCCCTCTGCCCACTAAGGCTTCCTCTACAGAGCCCTGTGGCTCCCTTCTCGCTTCCTTCATGCCTCTGCTCAAATGTCACTTCCTGAGAGAGGCCTTTGCTGACCACGCCATCTAAAATAGCTTCCCGCCCTCTCCCCTCTTCATCCCCTAATCCTGTTCCACTTTTCTTCAAAGCAGATGCTATGATACGATATACTAGCATCTGCTTATTGTTCATTTCGCTCACCAGGCTGGGAGCAACGTGAGACAGGAACTTTGCACACTATGATTCCCTAGCACCTAGAATAGTAATTGGCATATTGTAGGTGCCCCAGAGAGGTCTGTCAAGCAAACAACTGAATACAAGTCTTATTTTTAAAACTATACGGTACTCTTCTTGATAACAGGGATTCTATGTCCTTTAGCACAGGAACAAATGCTATCTATGGTAGCTATTTTAAAATGTATTCAACAAAGAATGGAAATACTGAGTTTTACTGTTCCTGGAAGAATATTAACTCCGTGTATTCATTTAGATAACTCCTAGAGCCCTAAGCAGATTACCATTCCCACATTAATATTCAATAATTCTTTATTTTAAATATGTGTATATTTCAGAAATCACTTTCTCTGCTCCCATATAAGTCTGCTGGTACAGACATTACAGAGTGCGTTTTTATCCACTCTACTCCTACTTAGATCGTCTGAGGAACAGGAGAGAAGGTAGAAACGGCTGCTCCAGATAGAAAGGTAAAGTGATGGCAGACATGAACCATGCATGAATGTATTACTTAATTCTGATGGACTGGAGAGGAAAACATGCTTTCATATAGCTTTCAGATTCCGGTGAGAGGTCAAGGAATGATGTGCAGAGAGGATGATGGTCAGAATTTCTCAGCAGGTACCTGATTACTCTCCTCAGGGTTTGGAAGGGCTCAGGTTCCTCTCACTAGAGAAAAGCTGAAAGCCTGGAAGGGAACAGCCAACAGAAGAGGAAAGGTGCCTACTACGCTAGCTCTTGAGCAAGATGGTGACAGTGCAGAAAACCAGCCCCAATTACGCTAACCTGAAGAGATTAGGGGGAAACAATAAGATATTTACTGAGACTGGAACACAAAACCAGGGTTACATAGTGATTTGATAATAAAGTTAGGGCAAAGTATGAATTCTTTCATATACTGTGTTTTTTTCGAAGTCCTACCAACAAGGTGGAAAAAGTACAAAGAAAGCAAAATCGTAACAGCGGTATTGAAATCACAATATATAATCAGTTTTGAACTCTGTTCTCTTCATTTCATAGGGCACTGGAAGAATTTTCCTGTAACAGTAAACATTGCACTCTATTAGTAAGGGACAAATGTTTATGATTATGATCGACTAAGCTAAAATTAATCATTGAAGAAGTCAACAAATATCTCATATTTGAAAGTGCTGGAGGCTCAAGGCCAGCAATCAGGAGGATATTTCCTACTGGATGTCATCGAGGTCCACTGTCTCATGCTGAGGGATTGCATCAAAGCCTCAGGATCTTAATACCTGAGTTCTACATGGGCAGGATTAACTGAGCAAAGAGAACAACATGCACTTAAATTTGAAACAGCTGCGTATAATCATTAACCTGTAAACTCTTTACTGAAATTGCACAGTATATATAATTTTTAAAAAATTAAAATTAAGATCTACCTGCTGTAAAGATGGTCCTTTCTTCCAAAGTTCTCTCCCTAAAGATTTAAAGAGAGAGAAAGAGAGGAGGAGGGGGAACAGTAAAACAGCAGGTTACCTTGGATAGATTACAGATTATGAATTCTCTAACTATATAATTGAGTCACTAAAGAAGTCAGTTTTAAAGCTCCCTCTACAGCTTAACTGCTCTACAGTTAAAATGACAGTGACCGAGTTTTACCTATCAAACTGCAAAATTATTTTTTTTGTTATGATTACATCCAGATGGATAATATTCAATGCTAGAAGGGGAAGCAGTTGCAAAATAGAAACTTTTAAACACTCCTAAAGAGAAGGCAGTTTGTCAATATATACCAAAAGCTTAAAGAAATGGGTATATCCTGAAGTATAGGATTCAATTTCTAGGAATTGATCCTAAGACTATAATAAAAAAATACTAAAATATTTACACATCATGACAGTCACTAAATTGTTATGTATATTAGCAAAAACTGTAAACAACTTAAATGAATGTACAGAAAATTGCTTAACTCAATTAAATATATGGAATTTTATGCATTAAAAAAAATTTTACACAAAATGTTTATCTATGAGGGAAAACCCTTCAAAATCTTTTACACAAAAAGTAATCTACAGCTCACTACAAGTGACCTCAATTTCCCGCATAGGGTCAAGACAAGGATATTCCTTCCTGCATAGGGAGAAGACTGGAAGGATATTTCTCCTTAATAAACACAGAAAAATACCTGATACAGGTATTTGATAAATACTGATTGAATATTTTACAAATGTTCAAACAATGATTCTTTCTTTAAAATTTTGTATCAAAGCTAAGTACTACAGTCCTCCTCATCAAAAAAAAAATATATAGATAGATAGATAGATAGATATTAGTAAAACACACTTGATCGGGCTCTTTCTCCTCATTCCTTAACATACTCCATAGTACAATAGGGTCTACTTGATAAACTAGCAAACATACACAACAGGCACTGCCTCAAAGTGACTAATGCAAATACACAAAGCTACAGCACAGAGGGAGAAAGACCAATGATGTGTAGCATTAAGGACTGCTTTGCTTCTTAAAACCTGCAGTTCCACGGTCTGAGTCTTTAAAAGCTGTCCTTTATTAAGCTAGACTTTTCTAGCTACTTCGCTACCTACCTTTGTTGGTATTTTCCGAAGCAGTCTTCAATAAAGTTAGAATGTCCAGATTGTCCCCGATTCTTGCATAGTAAGAACAGTCATGGCCCAGGGCATCCAGTAGGCTGACATCAGCACCATTTTTAAGTAAGACTTCTACAGCATCTTTACAACCATACTCGCAGCCTAGCATGAGAGCAGTTCTAAGAGGGAAGACAGAAGCATAAAAGATGTTGAGAAAGACCCAAGAAAATACTCCAGAAACCTTCCAGAGGCCCCTTCTTAAAGAATAGATATTACTTTAGAAAGTCATAGTTGTTGGGCGCCTGGGTGGCTCAGTGGGTTAAGCCTCTGCCTTTGGCTCGGGTCATGTTCCCAGGGTCCTGGGATCAAGTCCCGCATCAGGCTCTCTGCTTGGCTGGGAGCCTGCTTCCTCCTCTCTCTCTGCCTGCCTCTCTGCCTACTTGTGATCTCTGTCAAATAAATAAATAAAATCGTTAAAAAAAAATCATAGTTGTTATACAGATTTTATTTCCTATTTTTATCTTATAGTTTAACTTCATCATATTTATAAAAACATTTCTTAGTTTGCAGAGCTAAAAACCTGACATCACTTATAGACACGTGTTACTTCTACTACCAAACTAACCACCTTTACCCCAGTCCTTCTGTGTTCTACAAGTGAATTACCACAATATTCTCCCATCACTGATACTGTTACTCCATCTGCTCAAAACCTACAGCTATAAACCCAAACTATTCAAGTCCTTCATGAACAAACCTCATCATGTAAACCTCTTCGACCAATCCCTTCCACTCCAAAACAAGAATCAGATTCCAGTTCTGATTAATCTCCTTAAAAGAGCTTTCCTTCTCCTAACTGGAGACTTCATATCTTCGTATCTTCACACTTCATTTTAAAACCTGCCTCCTCCATAAAGCTTAATTATCCCCATTGTCATGGACCACTGGTTTATTATGCCTTGGCAGGATCATCAGCACTGAAACACTTAACAAATAGCAATAACACAATTAAACACTTGAATCATCATGGAAATTTAGAAGGAACTTTGAAATTATTTTGTCCCATTCCTATTTTTATTGCTGAGGAAACCAAAAAATACCTCATGAAATGAAGTGACTTATCCTATACTTAACGCAGTCTTTGTGAATATTGGATTCCATAAGAAAATGGATCCTTGCTTTTATTCTATGCATATCCTATTTCTCTTTTATACTTCCCAATAGTTGCTGGAATACAATTTTATATATACCGGGAACCACCAACAAAGTTTTTTTATTAGAGGAAAAAAATGTTACAGGTAAGACCAGGAAAAAAATACAGAGTTTTAATTTATTTTTCATTTCTTCTTATATTTAAGATTTTGAATTTGAGAGAAAGGGAGCATGAGTTGGGGGGTGGGAATGGACAGTGGGAGAGGGAGAAAGACTCTTAAACAGATTCCATGCTGAACACAGAGCCAGATACAGGACTCGATCTCATGACACTGAGATTATAACCTGAGCTGAAACCAAGAGTCAGATACTCAATCGACTGGGCCACCCAGGAATTCCAAATTTTAAATTTATTTTTAAAGCCATCTGCTACCTAGCCTATTTAATACACGTTGTCCTACCTCATCGTGTGTGTGTGTGTGTGTGTGTGTGTGCGCGCGCGCGTGCGCACGCCATTCCAAAGTGTTTGGGAAAATATAGGATCTTTAAAAAAAAATTAGGCATTATACATGGAACAACCAGATCATCCCTCTATGATCCTAAACTTTATTTTTAAACTTAATTTTCTTAGTAATGGTTGAAACCAGATTATAGATCTGCAAAAACAAAGTAATGCAAAAAAGCCACTTCCTTAATAATTACATTAATGACTTAATTGCTTAAGAATTTCCTCCTTTGAAAGGTCTAAACAATAAAAACAAGTAGAGCTATAAAATCTGACATCTGAAGACTTTTATTATACCTATTTACTTCCAGTGAACTACAAAAAAAAGGATACATGTTTAGAAGAATAAAATTAAGTCAGAAGAAACCAACAGTTTTACTAGTAATCATTTACAAAATCCCAAGAATTTGTTATGAATTATTATAATGCTCCAACTTGGGGATAGGATGTATTTCAGATACATCACTGTTGGAAACACTAGGACCATGAACTGAAAATTGTAATAGCAGTGCCATGATACACTGGACCTGGAGGAGGGAAGGAGAGAGTTACAGACAGAAAAGTATTAGTATGCACCAACTAAAATGACATGAACACAGAAGCAAAAATAAATGTAGGGAACCTCAGGGTGTGGCAATGAACTTGGTTCCAGAGAAGGAGATAGCACTATGCCTGGGCACGGTAAGCAGAACCAACACATGGAGAAAGTCTATATGGAAAAACGGAAAAAAACGGAAAAAAGGAAAAACGGAAAAACGTCAAGCTCCAGGACACCCAAGAACATTTACTCCCAAAAGACTGACTAACAAAGAATGTTAGTGTGTGATTTTTTATTGTTCTCCCTCATTATCTTATCTGAGCCCGTTTTTTCACTAAAGATTGTTTTAAAGCTTTAAAATAAATAACTGGGATATAATTCCTTTCTTCGGTTTTTTGACCTGAAGACAGGCTCTAATCACTGCTTGTATTCCACATTTACCCTACTTCCCTCTTCTTCCTTCATCAGACTCTGGAGAAAAAAGAAAGAAAGAAAAGAAAAAAGAAGTGGGTGCTAATTCCAAGGAAAGAGAGATCCAAAGGGGGATGGAAAAGACAAGTCACAGCGGCAGTTTGAGTCACTGTGAATCCAGCTGGTGTCTGTAGAGCTGTGATAAAAGAATTACCTGTTTTGTTTATCTCTGGAATTAATCTCTGCTCCTCTATCTATCAGCAGTTGACATATTGTTGGCCTACACATCTGAGTAGCCAGAACCAGTGGTGTCCGCCCATCCTAAGCAACAAGAAAAATAAAACCGCATTAAGACAACAAATCTCCCAAAACATAAAAGTTTGAATACACAAGTTGAAATGACAATAAGCATACACGGACTCACCACATCTTTGGCATTCACGGAGGCCCCATGGTCACAAAGCAGCTGTATGCTGGAAGGACAGTCTGCCATGGCTTTGAGGAGCAAAGGAAAATGATAAATGGTGAACATCTGTTGGTAAGACACATGGTGCTTTGCTACGTCCATATAAGGCATAAGTTCTACAATTTCTAAACTACCAAGCTTCACATCGTCCACTTCTTAGTTTAGCATTTTAAGTACCTATTGTAGAAAATGGGTTAGACCAGATCATTTTATAAATGTTGTACAATTTATTGGGACCAACAAATATTGTCACCCTTAAAGAAGACAATATACTTCTACCCTAAGTGTAAACATAGAAATAAAAATCAAATTTAAATTTTCTACTTAGAATATATTCTTAAATGTGGCTACAACTGACTTGATCCTTGAAGGGTTAGCTCAATTTTTTTTCTTTTTTTAATGAATCATACTCAGGTCTTTATAGAAAAGTCACAGTAAAAAAGGTTTAACTCAGATAGTTCATAGATTGCAATGTCTGCCTTTGATGATGCAAAGCAGGGTCATTTTGCTAAAAATTATATTGTAAAACCACACACTGCTTTTTTTCCAACCAACACTAGAGTTCATATTTGTATTAGGAAAAAAATTATTGTTAACATCATAAAATAGGACTGTGTTTCAACTTCCCATGAGTTTTATTAAAAGTTTTTATATTATTATTAACAAATACTTCCTGTATTTATTATGAGTTGAGACTAGATTATTAGCCACAAAAAGTACTGACAAAGTCAGCATTCTTGTGTGTGTGTGTGTGTGTGTGTGTGTGTGATATTCCACAGACTAAAAGAAAATACACATAAGAAAATCAAGTAAATTTTCTGCTGTCTTTAATCCAACAAGTCTTTTACATAAAATATAGTTTTTTAACTACATATATAACTTTCACATAAAATATATATAACTTTTTTAACTATATATATAACTTTTACATAAAATATAGTTTTTTAAAAAAAGATAAACTGAAACTGAATACATTAATCCAGGAATTCTAAAACTAACAACCATTCCCGCCCAACTGAAAATAAGAATGAAACAATGTAAAGCATAATACATTCCAGAGCTACAATATATTGAACTAGTAAAGTCAGCATTAAAGGTGCTATGGTGGAGTGGCAGCCATTCACCCAAGTGTGGGTGTCACACTTTCTTCCATGGTAACGAAG